GCCGAAGTGAGGCCGAGGTAACAATGGATCAAGCAAGCAAGAGATAGAACTGAGGGCTACACAGACAGTGACAACTGTGTTCCGAATCCCAATTCACAAAGTCCTAGATCAAATTCGGAATCAATCCTATTTCAGAACATCAACAAAAGCACCAGGAGAATTCATGAGAAGAAACCTTGGCAGGCATTGCGCTTACCACAATGAAAACGGGCATATGACTCAGGGTTGCAGAGCCTTGAAAACACACTTGGAAGACCTGGTGAGGCAAGGCCATCTGAGAGACCTTGTCGATGAGGCCAAAACAAGGGAAGAACAGGCAAGATTGCCTCAAGCAATAGCACCTCCACCACCTCCAGCATAGCAACCTTAAGTTGGAGGACCTCGGGTAATTAATGTAATTCACTCGAAGGTCTGCGAAAACGAGATTAGGGGGGAGACCCAAAAGGTGTAGCACTTACAGTACGTCTACCAAGTCGGGGAGAAGAGACATCGGGTAGAGGAGTGCCAAGGACCAGTAATGTCCTTTTCTGAAGCCAACCTTGAGATGGTACAGCACCCACATAATGATGCCTTGGTAGTATCCCTCCAGGTTGGGAAATGCCAAGTAAGGCGCATCCTGACTGACCAAGGCAGCTCTTGTGACATCATGTACGTCCGATGTTATACGGAGCTTAGCCTTCACCCAGACGATATGGAGCAATCCAATAACCGAATGGTCGGGTTCAATGAAACGCCGACATGGCCACTAGGAACAACCAGCTTGGAGGTGCAGGCAGGCACCAGGAAGATAACAATAGAGTTCACCGTAATTGACACACCCTCCCTTTACAACATCATTTTGGGAAGACCATGGTTGCATGCAATGAGGGATGTTCCCTCAACTTTGCATCAACTATTGCGGTTCCCAACAGAGCATGGAATTGAGGAGGTCAGAGGAGATTAGCTGCAGGCAAAGAACGGCTCCATGGCAGCAATGAAATCCACCTGCAGCATAAGAGAACCAGAGAAGGCAGAGATCGAAGACGAGGATGTGGAGGTCCTAGAGGATGTCAGCAAGGAGCCAGCCGAAAAGAGTGAAGAAGCACTGAAGAAAATCCTCGTCCAGGAGGGGAATGGAGAACGCTTCTTTCTTCTTGGCTTGGGCTTAGCTGAAGAAGAGGAAAAAGAATTGGAAGCTTTTTTGGAGCAAATATTGAGGTGTTTGCTTGGACACATTATGAGATGCCTGGCATTGACCCTGAGGTCACTTGCCATAAACTGAATGTTGATAGGTCGGCAAAACCCATAATCCAACGAACAAGAAGATCGGTGTTGATACAGGTCGAAGCAGTGGAAGAGGAAGTAGACAGCCTTTTGGAGGCTAGGGCCATTCGAGAGGTAACTTACCTAACATGGCTATCAAACACAGTGGTGGTGAAGAAGAAGAATGGTAAATGGAGGGTCTGCGTGGACTTTACCAGCTTGAACAAGGCCTGTTCCAAAGACAGTTTTCCTCTACCCAAGATTGACCAGCTGGTAGATGCCACTTCGGGGTATGGAAGGATGAGCTTCCTGGATGCCTACAGGGGATACCATCAGATAGCCATGTATCCCCCAGATGAAGAGAAGACTGCGTTTGTCACCCCAAAAGGTCTGTACTGCTACAAAGTGATGCCTTTTGGTTTGAAAAACGCAGGAGCAACTTACCAAAGACTGGTAACTAAGATGTTCAAGCACCTGATTGGCAAAACAGTAGAAGTTTACATCGATGACATGGTCGTGAAGACCAAGGAACCTAAACGTCATCTGGCCGACTTGAAAGCAGTCTTTGACATCCTTAAAACATATCGGCTCCGACTCAATGCAGCGAAGTGTGCATTTGGAGTGGGATTTGGTAGGTTTTTGGAATACCTGGTGACTAGAAGGGGCATTGAGGCCAGCCCAGACCAGATTAAGGCCATTCTGGAATTGAAGAGCGCAACATCGGCAAAATAGGTACAAATGTTGACTGAAAGGGCCACAGCCCTAAATAGGTTCATAAGCCGAAGCTTAGATAAGTGCAAACCTTTCTTCAACTTAGTGAAGAAAGCCACAGACTTCCTATGGACCGAGGAGTGCAAAAACACTTTGGCCGACCTGAAGAAGTATTTGATCATAGCTCCAGTTCTTTCAAATCCAGAACCTGAGGAGGAGCTGTTCCTATACTTAGTAATTTTAGAACACGCAGTAAGCACAGTAGTAATCCGAGAAGAAAAAGGGGAGCAAAGGGCTGTTTACTATGTAAGCAAAACCCTGGCCGATGCAAAAACAAGATATCTACCCTTAGAGAAATTGGCATTGGCTTTAGTAATGGTTTCAAAGAAGCTGAACCATTACTTTCAAGCCCATAAAACTGTGGTGTTAACTGAATATCCCTTGAAGTCCTTGCTGCAACAAGGAGACCTGACAGGAAGAATAGCCAGATGGGCAGTTGCCTTAGGCCAGTATGACCTAGAGTACAGACCCAGAACAACAATCAAAGGCCAAGTTTTGGCCTACTTCGTGGCGGAGTTCACGCCAGAATTCATTGAACATCAGGCTCCGTTGAGCCGATGTGAACGATGTCCAAACAAATAAAGAGGAGCCTAGCCAAAGGCGAAAAAACAAAGCAAAGAGGAAAAGCTCAGACCCTGCAGCATTTACATCGGCGAATCCTTTTGACTATTTGTCGATGGGAGCTCAACCGACAAGGAGTAGTACTGGTATCTCCAGATGGAGAAGTATTCGAACAGTCCATTCGATTGGGGTTCAAGGCCTTAAACAATGAAGCAGAGTATGAAGCATTAATTGCAGGACTAAAGCTGGCGGTAGCAGTAGAAGCAAATGAAGTGATAGTCTTTTGTGACTCCCAGCTCATAGTCAACTAGACAACGGGCAAATTTGCAGCCCGAGATGAAAGGATGTCATCCTACGCAAAGGAAGTCAATAGGTTAGTAGCTTTGTTTCAGAATTGCCGACTACATCAGGTTAGCCGAGATGATAACAGTCACGCCGATGCACTAGTCAATCTGGCCAGTGCAATACAACATGGAAAAGCAAGGACGATAATGGTTGAATACTTGTCGAGCCCAAGCATCGAACCACTGACCACAGAGCGTGAAGCAATGTGTGTGGACATGGAACCAAGCTGGATGGATGCAATTGTTGCATTCCTGAAAGAAGGAAAGCTGCCAGATGACCACAAGGAGGCACACAAGATCAGATTGAAGTCGGCAAGATTCAGTCTAACAACAGAATGACATCTCTATAGAAGATCTTTTACTGGACCCCTTTTAAGGTGTGTACACCCATCACAAGTTGAAGATTTTTTATATGAAATACATGAAGGAATCTGTGGAAGCCACACCGGGGGCAGATCATTAGCCCATAGGGCCATTATCCAGGGGTATTGGTGGCCCTACAAGTAAAAGGACGCAGAAGCCTATGTCAAGAAGTATGAAAAATGCCAAAGGTTTGCACCACTGATACACCAACCAGCAGCAGACCTGAACCCAGTATCCAGTCCTTGGCCATTTGCCCAATGGGGCGTGGATCTCGTTGGGCAACTGCCCCAAGCAACTGGACAAAGGAAGTACTTGCTGGTGACAATAGATTACTTCACCAAATAAATAGAAGTTGAGCCCCTAGCCAAAATCCGAGATGTGGACGTGAAGAACTTCTTATGGAGGAATATCATCACCAGATTTGGGATTCCGAGAGCAATAGTTGTTGAGAATGGAATACAGTTTGACAGCAAGTTAATCAAAAGTTTTTGTGCAAAATTCAAGATCAAGAATTATTTTTCAACCCCAAGCTTTCCTCAAAGCAATGGATAAGCAGAAGCATTCAGCAAAGTTATCTTGGATGGGATAAAAAAGAGGCTGCAGGCAGCCAAGGGAAAGTGGGTGGATGAACTTCCAAGTGTGCTCTGGGCATATCGAACTACACCGAGAAGATCAACAGGGGAATCCCCTTTTGCCATGGCTTATGGCACAGAAGCTGTCATTCCACTGGAGGTCGGCATCCCAGGGATCAGAACCTAGGTAGTAGAGAACGGGACAAATAATGCACTCTTAGCCCGAGATCTAGACCTACTAGAAGAAAGAAGAAAGAGAGCTGCAATTTAGCTCGCAGCCTACCAGCAGCAGCTTGCCAGAGCTTATAATAAAAGAGTCAACCCAAGGGAGTTCCAAGTCGGCGACCTAGTCTTGAGAAAAGTCATCGGCAATAAGAAGGATCCTAGGGAGGGCAAGCTTGGCCCAAACTGGGAAGGACCCTACAGAATCACTTCGGTATTGGGCAACGGGGCATATCGGCTTGAAGAAAATGAGGGCAAAGAGTTGCCAAGACCCTGGAATACTTGTAATCTGAAGTTTTTCTATCATTAGATTTTCCTTGTTATTTGCCGACGTAATAAATAAAATTTTAGCAGAATTCTTCTATATTTATGACTGATGAAGATACATAACATTGTTTCGGATTACATGCATAATGAGACCCCAAGTGGAACTTAGGTTCACATTAGGGGGCAGAGAGAAGAAATGATGTTTAACACTTGTTGAAACTTGAGAAAAGTTTACAAGTTGAAGTTAAACTGAAATGATGTTTAACACTTGTTGAAACTTGAATAAAGTTTACAAGTTAAACTTAAAACCGAGATGATGTTAAACACTTGTTGAAATTTGAGAAAAATTTACAAGTTGAAACCGAGGTTGCGCCAAGAAAGGTACTTGGATACTTGCTGAAGTAAATCGTCAGTTTGTATAACCGAGGTATGTCACCTCGAGAAGGTTGCACAAGATTGAAGTATATATTAAAGATATGCAAATTATTTTAAGTATGAAAGTCATACAAGAGCAATAAAGGGAAGACAAACACACAAGTATTCAAGAAAAAAAGAAGATTATATTCATTAAAAGGCACGTCGGCCATATGAAGAGCTTACATTGTCTTAAAAACAAAGAAGTACAAAGTGTAAAAAACAAAGGAAAAAGACATCAAAACTAAGATTCCTCAGCATCATTGGCAGGCTGGGTCTGGATCACGGAGGACTGCTGCGAAGACATCTCGGCGGCCTTCTCAACCGCAAGCTTAGCATCAATTTGTTGAAGGGTTTCGTCAAGGCTTTTGTCGGCAAGGGTCACGTCGGCTGATGCCTTCTCAGCTGTAACATCTTTGGGAACCTCTTCAACCTCCTCATCTTGAGTCAAGTCTAGGACTTGATCATTCAGAGAAAGGGACTTGGTCCCAGTAGCCTCTTTTGATTTCCTCACTAAAACCTCCTCCTCGGATTCAGAGTCGTCATCAGATTGAGTTGGAGTTGGAAGGAATGGAAGAGGAATGGCATCGGCGTTCCTGAGGGGCGAGTCCTCGGGGACTTCAAGCTTTTTTAGAAGAGACATCCAACCAAGGGTGAAACCCTTGTTGCATGCCTGCTTCACTTACTTTTCATAGTCCGCCATGACATCGGCCACCCCTTCATTATAGCCCTTCTCGTCAGCGGCCTTGATTTCGGCCTCTTTGGTGGCCAGGGCGTCTTGAAGCTCCCTTTGGGCCTCGACCATCTTGTCTTTGACCTCTTTCAGTTGGGCTTGAAGGACTTTGTTTATCGCCTTAGCAGCACCAACCTTTTCTTCGGCATCGTCCTTGGCTTTGATAGTGACCTCGGCTTGATCTTCCAAAGTCTTCATCTTTGACTGTGGATTTCTGTTAGTCTTTTGCAGACTAGAGACCTCTCTCTTCCTCTCTGCCAGTTTCTCCCGGTTCTAGAAAGATTGTACTGAGAAAGAATGAGCATACTGGATAGCCTGAAAGTAAACATAAGTTATTATAAAATATTGTAAGTATGTAAATGAAGAGAAAGAAAGAAAAATTTCCCAATAAAGAAACTTACCTGAACAGAGTGCTGGAGCATTAGAGCATAGTTCTCATACTCGCTCATCTCGGCGTTTCGGTCGAGATCACCGGGAATGAGCGGTATTAAGGGCAACACCGACGTTTATATCTTCAGCACTGTCACTAGCCATAATTGGCTTATCTTCCAAAGTGATTTTGGGGGCCCAGGAGGCATCATGCTTTTGAGACCTCGAGGTTGTTGCAGAAGATGACCTCGACCTTTTTGATCTGGTGGATTCGGATGGGTGCGTTCCAGCAGACCTCTTCTCGGGGACAGAGGCAGTCTTATCACTCTTAGCTAGTTTGGAGATCGGCAAGGAGTCCTCAGTGTCAACCTAAGTCACCTTTGCCTTTGGCTGAGTCTTTTTGATTCTTTTTTGCTTTGGTGGAGGCTGGGTTTGCTGAGCATCAATGTCAAAAGGGATGCTGGCTAAGAGGTCTTTTGCGACAGCTTTTTGGCGGCCCATTTCAGTAGCAAAAATAGTTCGTCGCCGACGCTGTCGCTGAGATGGTGGGATCAGGTATGGAGCCGAGGTTGACGGCTGCTCAGCAGGATTAGAGGTTGATCCTTGGTTTGTCCAAGATGTGGACTCGACTTGTGGAGTTGTGGCAGAAGGTGGAGAAATGCTTTTCTTCTTCTTTTTTGGGACGTCGGGAAGAGCCGACTTATAAGTGGGGATAAAGTTGAGAAGTAGAGGGGCCTTTCGCTTGTGGACTGGCAAATTCAGTAGTTTCTTCAAGCCTTTACTGGGAAAGAAAGACTGACGGAAGCCCTTTGGTAGTTGAGGGAGAACTGCAAAAAAGAAAAAAAATGTAGACATTAGAGCAGAATGTTGAAAACTTTATACAAGAAAGCAAGAAAAATTTGTGAAGGGTGGCCCTTACTAGCTCATTCCTCGAAAACTGTTCGACTTAGGGGATAAAGATGAAGGTCATCGTTTGGCTGAAACTCCCAGTTACCCGAAACGACGAAGTAATCATCCCCCGCTCCCTTGTTGGAGTCAGGGAGGTCGGCAACAATTTTGTATTCCGTGGACCTCGGCATGAGGTAATAGATGTGGCCTTTTTTAGATTTCAGGTGACACATGGTATAACAGTACTAGAAATCGGCAAGAGTAATCCTAACATTCTCTTGTTTGGCTAAGGCTATGGTACTATTAATAACTCGGTACGAATTGATTGCAAGCTGCATTGGGTTCAACCTATAGAAATGGAGGATTTCACGGAAAAAAGGGTCAAGTGGAAACCTAAGTCCACACTCAATAAACGCTACTACTGGGAAAGGCATGAGGTTTACATCGGGCATGATAGAGTCGTCATCCCCAGCCAACCTTAGACGGACGTCGGCAGGGATGGAAAACTCTCGCCTAAAGTATTCTAATTTTGTCGGGGTGTCTACCCTATGCTTCCACATACCCATGATATCGGCTTAACTGAAGGGATTGGATTTTAGAATGAAGGTGTTTTAAAAGGGTTATTGGAACCTCGGCAAAAACCTAAAGTATGTGCTAGGTAAGAATTTGTGGAAATAGTTTCAGTTTTTCCTAATAATTGAGGGTTCTACAAGCAAATCCCAAACCTAAATCTATGGAAACGAAGATTGAATGCACGGATCTGGAAAACAGAAAAATAGGGATGCGTTTCAGAATCAAGAATGATAATGAGGCCATCAGGAAATCAAGACAAAAAGTTTGCACAGGTATATCAGGCCAAGAACAGTGGCAGAAATCAACAGGAGTGTGAACAGTGTATATTCAAGAAGATGATTTGGGTAAAAACAGAATCATGAAACAAACATGTTCAAATATATGGTGGAATACAAGATGCGAGATGAAATATCAAAAATATGAACAAGATTGCAAAGACAGCAGGTAAAACGGTAAAGTTCAGTAAGGTAACAAGAAACCGAAATCATGAGGAATAGTGGCTTACTAGAAAGAGGGAAGCCGGAATGGGAATTGCCGAAGTCTGACGACGGTTGCGAAGGCGAAAGATTGGTGAAAATCACGCCAGAAGGGGTAAACGAAGCAAGTTGCAGAGTTGTGGAAGCTTGAACAATGGCGTATTCAGAAGCTAGAGAGAGTTGAGAGCTTGAGGATACGAAAGTGAGAAGACCAAGAGAGAAGAAAAAGTTTTGTTAAAACTTGAAACGGCGGCAAAACAGAATTAAATGCGCCTAAAACAACGTGAGTGTCAGACGGCGCACGCATGCGCGAGACGATTAAGAAGCACGTACCAAGTACGATCCAATAAGAGAAGGACACGTGGCTGAAATGGTTGAATTATGATGCGTGACAGCTCATACGCGTGAAGAAGCTCTTGGGATTCTTGATCTTTAAGAAGACATGTCGGCTTATAGTGATGAGCTCGGCTTAAGCCGATGTACGGGCAGGAAGTACCGATATAGGTTCTATTACCTCGGAAGAATTTCGAGGTAATAGAACCTAGGGGGCAGTTGTGGAGATATATTTTCTGAGTACCAACACGTGGCCAAGGTGACGCCGACGTGTCAGCCGAGGTGCCACGTGTCCAGGTCATGACGCCGAGGTTATCTCGGCAAGGCCGAGGTTATCTCCAAAGATATCGGAATCCGAGATAAGTGGATAAGGCACAAGAGTCCTAGAATAAGAAAGGACTTTAGCATGGATAAGGATAACACTCTTAGGGAGTTTATCTTTATCTCTTGAAGAGTCCAGGATAAGCACTGAGCAAGAGTCCATTAAAGCTAGGCTTCTAGTGGGACAAGGATTGAGTTCACTGTAAAAGAGAGGCACCCTCGATGGGTCTAAAGTACGCAATTTATATTCTGAACAGTGAGTTTAGCACTATTGATTATCTTTGAGAGATATACTGACTTGATCGTCGGAGTGCCCCCGAGTGGACGAACCACCACCGGAATCTTCTTTTTCTGTTGCAGGTCAGCCAGGTGTCATCTATTCTGCCACTTCTCTCCAGTTGATTACTGAGTTGGTAGTGTGGTCGGAAAATCACTCACACATTATCTATAAATATTTATTTTTATTATGAAAATAATTTTAGACTATTATTACGACGATTTGTAATTCATAGCTACATAAACACGCATAGCTTGAGAGTAGCATATACTTCATAATTGGTTATTATTATTATTTTTTATTGTTATTACTCAATTTTCTCGTGACAGTATAAATTACCTTATGAACTACCTCTTTTATGTATTATCAATCAACTTGCACTAAATGCTAAAGGAGAAATTATTTAATATTCTCGAAGTATCACGTGGTCATATTCTAAGTCAATCACTAATTGCTTAATCCCATATTGTTCCTTCATTTCTAACATAAATTGTGGGCCCTTACACCTCTCCACTAATCAAAATCTTATAGAGTACCACGTATTCATACTCCGAGGGTACTGAATAATCACCCCAAAAGAACTAAGTGTACTAGACTTATTTAATTTTAATACAATACCTTTTAACCATCAAAAAATCTAGCCTAACATTTATATAAGCATTCAAGTATTTAATATCAAGGTAAATTGTGTTTCAATCTTAAAAGCTACTATCTATTAATTTTTCTTTTATTTTATTTTCTTTTCTTTGATGGGGAAGTTTTAGGCCTAGATTGTGTGGCCACTAGTGATTTGAATCCAACAACGAGATCCAAGCCAATTCTATATATATGTATATGATTAAATATACAAGCTAGCTATTATTTCTACGACCCACTTAAGATATGATCCAATATTTTCATTAATATATCTAGTTTGTCACATTTTTTTCTTTTTTCCCCCCATTTTTTTTTGGATGCTGACATGGTGTTCAAATATTGAATCATACTAATTCTTTATTGTGCGTACCGAATACCGCACTAGATGATTGTGGACCGGAGTTCTACACCCAATTAGACTATCTGGGAACTGAGACCCTGAAACAATGAGCACCGTTACAGCTGCCCGGCCGAAGTTGGCCGGATAACCTATCCGGTGTGGGAGTCAGCGATCGGAGAAGATGGAATATGCTCTCTAAGTGCAAAGAGTTGTGTTTAAGTGAGTATGGTTGTCACGACCCAAACCCGCCCCTACAGGTTTAGTGTCATAATCGGCTAGTAATCCTTAGATTACCAAAGGCCTCTTAACAGACTAACATATAATTAGGGGTTGTAGAAGCAAATAGCAATTATACAATGTCCATTGAGCTGTGCAGACTTATATGAGACAGAAAAATTTTAAACTTTATATACATACATATACACATCATCATATATATACATATATAAGCTAGACAAAAAGGGACTTAGCCCTATTTACAACATACACAAAGACTTGTCTGACTGAACAGGAAAACAAGACTTCAACTTATGCACTAAACCATAACCACTAGACATGTCCGGAACCTCCACGGGAAGCACATAGGTTGGCTGTTAAAAACTGATTCTAGGCAGACGCCTCTAAGTTTGGTCACGCCCTGATCACCTACATATATATATATAAACAGTGAGCTGGTGCCCAGTGAATAATAACAAAGTAAAGGGTTTCTATGAATGATGTCCATCATAGAGTTAGAAATCAAATTCTTATTAGAAACAGAGTCTTATGCATATTCAGATTCTCAAATCAGAAATAGATTCATATACATATTCATGATCATTTTCATATTCAGATTTTGCATATAATCATACAAAGTACATCCATTAGCGCTAACAAATCCGATGACCCATAAAGGGACGGCCTTGAAGGCATTCTGATGACTCATGTGCACAGAGACGTTACCGATGACCCATAAAGGGACCTGATGACCCATTAAGGGACCTGATGGCCCATAAAGGGACGCATATCATATGATGCTAAAGATGCCACAAATAACTTTCAGAATCTTGGACAATCATTCATTCATTCAAAACATAGCATAGAATTTCAGACACTAATCATTTTATATCATAATGTTCAAAAAATTTTTAACATTGAACATAACTTTACAAAGTTATTACTCACAGATAGTAGCAGAAGCAGATCAGACAGATCAAGCAGACAATAGCGCGTGACCTACACAAACACATAACATATACACATTGAAGCACAATATTACTCCCTTGATCAAACTTAACTTTCTCGTTTTCTGTCTAAATAATTTGAAGGTCCACTACGCTTATTCTTTCTTTATTCAAATGAATCGGGTTCTCATTTCACAAACTCCCTTTTATTACTAAATCATTCTTTTTTCTAAATAACCCAATTCCTCACTTGGCTTCTTAATCAAGTATCACTAAGTTAATGACTTATTCTTTAATCAACTAATTAATGTTGATGGTTAGCTTATTAATCCTTATTGAGCCATAAATCATGTCTAGAATGTTTTGGAAAGAGATGAGAATAAAAAAAATGTGAATTAAATGCAAATTTTCAAAATATGCTGAAAATAGGGTCTTTGCTCAAGCGCCACTTTGGTCGCTCGAGCGGACTGTAAAATTTTGCAAAACACTTCTGG